GGGGGAACCGGCCCGACGCAAGATTCCGCAGGTACGACACCAAGCTCTGCCTCTTTTCGCCGTCGTTCATGTCGGAGTACTTCGCGTAGAGCGCATCGGGCAACCAACACCACTCCGTCTGCGCATCTGCGCGAGTTACCCACGCTGACCTCACTGCCCATCTGAATCATTGCGTTCTTCAGCGCCAAACACGGTGGTGGCAAGGCGTCCATGACAATCTTGGGCGGCATGACTGCCACGCGCAAGTCAGGCCGATGCCGCCCTCAAATAAAACTGCAGGCGCGCCTGCCTGAAAGCGCACTCGTGCCGAGCCAGCTTGAGCAAAGGTGTTCACTGCTCTGGATAAAACACGAGCTCTCGCCCGCGCCCCCCCCGCCCACGCATTTTTCCGGCAACAAGGAGGCACCACGCCTGCCACGGTTCACGAGCTCGAAACGGACAGCGACCGCACCCCCAAAGCACCCTCTGTGGAGTCGAGAAAGCGCCACGCCTGCAACACGTTGCGAGCCCGAGACGGATAGCGACCACACCCCCAAAGAACCCCCTGTGGGGCCGAGAAAGTGTCACGCCTGCCACGCTTTGCGAGCCCGAAGCGGATAGCGACCGTACCCCCAAGGTACCCCATGCAACGTCGATTAAACGCCTGCCACGCTTCAAGAGACCGAAGCGGATAACGACCGCAGCGCCAAAGCACCCCCTGTAGCGTCGAGGAAAACACACAAGTACCACACATGGCGAGCCCGAAACGGATAGCGACCGCACCCCCAGCGCACCCATGGTCGAGGAGAAGACGCGCCTGCCACTCTGTGCGAGCCCGGAACGGATAGCGACCGCACCCCCAAGGCACCCCATGCAACGTCGAGTAAGTACCACGCATGCCACGCTGTGCGAGCCCGGAACGGAAGAGCGACCGCACACCCAAGGCACCCCATGCAACGTCGAGGAAGAACCACGCATGCCACGCTTTGCGAACACGAAACGGATAGCGACCGCACCCCCAAAGCACCCCCTGTGGAGTCGAGAAAGCGCCACGCCTGCAACACGTTGCGAGCCCGAGACGGATAGCGACCGCACCCCCAAAGCACCCCCTGTGGGGCCGAGAAAGCGTCACGCCTGCCACGCTCTGCGAGCCCGAAGCGGATAGCGACCGTACCCCCAAGGTACCCCATGCAACGTCGATTAAACGCCTGCCACGCTTCAAGAGACCGAAGCGGATAACGACCGCAGCGCCAAAGCACCCCCTGTAGCGTCGAAGAAAAGACACAAGTACCACACATGGCGAGCCCGAAACGGATAGCGACCGCACCCCCAGCGCACCCCTGGTCGAGGAGAAGACACGCCTGCCACGCGTTGCGAGCCCGGAACGGAAGAGCGACCGCACCCCCAAGGCACCCCATGCAACGTCGAGTAAGTACCACGCATGCCACGCTGTGCGAGCCCGAAACGGATAGCGACCGCACTCCAGCGCACCCCCAGTGGCGTCGAGAAAGCGCCGTGCCTGCCACCGAATCCGTCGCGTATGTGTTGTGCGGTTGTATGTGGACGTGTGTCTCATGCACGTGCCCTAGTATATGGTGCAGACGTCTAGGGTGTGTGATGCGGTCAACACGCCAGGTCTTGCCTAGCGTCATATGGGGTGCGTGTGCGCGCTTGTAGATGCGTGTATATATGATGCGTGGGTGTTGAACGCGCCAGGTGACACACCTCTCCTAACTGCGTGTGGTGTGCATGTGCGCTATGTGTATGTGTATACGTGGTGCGTGCACGGTTGTACGTGGCCGCGTGTCTCATGCTAATGCTGCGCATGTGCTGCATGCGTCTGTTAGGAGACGCGGGTACGGCACGGGCGGGGTGCAAGATGGAGGAAGCGATGGAAAGGGGAGGAGGTGAGAAGGCGAGGGTGTGACTGAGGAACGCGGGTGCGAGGCGGGTGGGAAGAAAACCATAACCCCAGTAAGCATGTGGGGAAATAGGACGGCACTTGAAGTGGATGGGGGATCTGGGGGTCCACCAACACTTACTTTCAGCGACTGGCGTTTGTGAGGTTCCAAAAACGAAGAATCAAAGTATTGAGGATCCCCCCGCTGGGGAGGAGGCGTGGGGCTGAGGGGGTTTCTCGGGAGGGGTCCACCCCTCATTGAGGCCGCCAAGGAGGCTCCAGGAGGAAGAATCGCTTCCAGAGCCTGGGGTGCCCTGCGCGACGTGTTCGAAACATGGGGCCCCAGACCTCTCGATGCCTCTCTGGGGCTGGCTGTTCACCCCGAGAATTGGAAACGAAAAGCCTCCCCCAGGACAATCAGCATGAGCAAATAGGCACTCGAAGCAGAGATCCCCGTGTGCATCTCAGTTCCTGGCACCTCCGCCTGTGAGCGTCTTAGTGGGAGAGTCCTAGCCTCTGGCGACTGGGCGCTCCCTCGCGGCTCTCAACTGGGGTGCCCAGGCGTCACGCGTTGTACAGTCGGGGCGTTGACCTAAGGAACGATAAATAAGGAACGAGGCTTTTCCCATAGATTAAACTCCGACTTCCCATGGAAAAACTCAGGAAAACCCAAGGAGCACTGTAAAGCAACTAAGGAACACGGAGCCCCTCCCCAACAAAAAGGGTTCCTTCTTCAGGGCCCCGACTGTATGTCGCGGCTCCTCCTGTCTGGACCTCCACAGCGGCAACCTGGGCGCGAGCGGGCAACTGTCCCCATCTCTGGCGGTTCCCCCTTGGAACTCCCGCGTGCCACGCCTGCGTCATCGCGATGGTCATGGGGCCACCCATCGGGCGTTGGCAGAACTGGGTTTAGTGGAACCTGGTTTAGTGATTTGTACCGGGGGCGCCCCCTCGTCCCATTTCCGCCAACCGGAACTGCCGCCACCCGAGAAGCACCAGTTACGGCAGACCTGGTTTAGTGAGTCTGGCCAATTGAGGGGCCCCAGGGCCCTACCACTAACCGGGTCCCCTTACCCGGGGTCCTGGCTTTACCCGAACCAAGCAGGCAAGCCGCTTGAAACATCACCACAGTCCTGGCCCGAACGGACAAGCGTCCCCCCTCCCTGGCGTCTCCTCCTTCGGGTGCCCAGGTGCCACGCCTGCTACATCGCGGTGACCATCGGACTCTCCTCAAAGGAGCGTGGACCGCCAGAAGGACAAACCGCCAGGGCCTCCCTGGCGGTTCCTCCCTGATGTTCCCAAGCGTCACGCCGGCTATATCGCGATGGTCATGGGGCTCTCAACAAAAACAGCCTGGGACACCAAACAAGCAGTCCGCCCGAGACATCCCCACAATCTGGGCGCGAATGGGCGAGCGTCCACTTTCCCTGGCGGCTCCTTCTCGGAATGCCCACATGCTACGCATCTGCTACATCGCGGTGGTCGCTGGGCTCTCGAGCAGAAGGAGCCTCAGCCACCAAACAGGCAAAAGCGCCTGAGATGTCCTCACGTCATGGGCGCGAACGGGCAGGTGTCCCCGTCCCTGGCAGTTCAGCCTTCCCCGCGCCACGAAACATGCAAACCGCCCGAGACAGCCCCACGATCTGGGCGCGAACGGGGTCACTTTCCCCCTCCCTGGCGGCTCCTCCGTCGGGTGCCCAAGTGACACGGCTGCTACATCGCAATGGTCATGGGGTTCTTCGAAGAGAAGCGCCCGGGCCACCAAACAGGCAAACCGCCTGAGACATCCCCACAATCTGGGCGCGAACCGACCCGTGTCCACCTCCTTGGCTGTTCCTTGTCGGGGTGCCCAAATGCCACGCCTGCCACGTCGCGGTGAAATTGTAACCCCCAAGCGAGTGCGCAGGTCTGTGTGAATATCCGCCGGCCCCCTTGTGGGGCCACCAGGCTGTAGGCACGTGATTCGCAGTTTCCTGTACCAGTCGTAGGTTGTAGTTTCCAGTGTTACAGTTCTGCTTCTTGCTGGTTACTGTAACTAGTTGAGTTATTGCTGGTTACTGTAACTAGTTGATTGACCGCGC